AAAACATTATATGACCATCCCTATAAAGTTGGAAAAAAGATCTTACGTTAGATATATATTCAGGATTTAAAAAAAAAAAAACAATTCTGAACAAAGAAAGAATAAAAGAAAATTTATTTAAGCTTTATTATCAACAACAACAACAAAAAAAAACCATAGCAAATATTATACTTCAGTGGTAAAAGGTTGAAAATTTTCCCAGTGAAATCAGAAATAAGGCAAGGATATCTGTTATTTCCACTTATTTTCAGGATTGTACTGGAAGACCTATCAATGCAGTAAGGCAAGAGAATGAAATAAAAAGTGTAAAAATTAAAAAGAAAGTTGTTATTATTTATGGAGGCTATGGTTGTGGAAAAAATATAAGTCAACATACAAATGTTTTAAATATATGTTACTTTTAAAAGATTGCGGGGACTCCTACCTCACACCATATACAAAAGTTAAATAAAAAAGAACCAATGACCTAAACATAAGAACGAAAACTTATATTTAGGACTAAAACTATTAGAAGAAAACAGGGGTAAATCTTCATAACCTTGATTTAGCAGTGGATTCTTAGATATGACACCAAAAGTACAGGCAGCAAAAGATAAAATAGATAAACTGGACTTCATCAAAATTAAAAACGTTTGTGCTTCTAAGGGCATTAACAAGAAAATGAAAAGACAGCCTACATAATGGGAGTAAATATTTGCATATCATACATGTGATAAGGGTCTCGTATCCACGATATATAAAAAATAGTTACAACTCAACAACAAAAAGACAACCAAGCTAAAAAAATTGCAAAGGACTTGAAGAAAGATTTCTTTAAAGAAGAAATACAAATGGCCAACAAGCACGTAAAAAGATGCTCAACATCATTAGTCATTCGGAAAATGCAAACCAAAACCACAATGAGATACCACTTCATACTCATAAGGATGGCTAGAATAAAAAAATGGAAAATAACAAGTGTTAGCAAGGATGTGAAGAAATTGGAAATCTTGTCCACTGCTGTTGGGAACGTAAAATGGTACAGCCACTGTGAAAAACAGTCTGGCAGTTCCTCAAAAAGTTAACCATAGAATTACCACATGACCCAGCAATTCCACTCCTAGGTACACCCAGAATTGAAAACAGGTACACAAACAAAAACTTGTACATAAATGTTCATAGCAGCACTCTTCCCAGGAGCCAATTCACAATAGCTAAAAGGTGGCCATGGCCCAAATGTCCCATCAATGGATGAATGGATAAAGAAAATGTGGATATCCATACAATGGAATATTACTTAGCCATAAAAAGGAATGAAGTACTGATACATGCTAGGATGTGGGTAAACCTCAAAAATATGACGCTAAGTGAAAGAAGCCAGACACAAAAGGCTTGTTGTATGGTTCCATTTTTATGACCTATCAAGAACAGGCAAATTCACAGAGGCAGAAAGTAGATCGGTGGTTGCCAGAACTAGGGGCAGAGGATGATGGGAAATGACTGATTAATGAGTATGACGTTTCTTTTCGGAGTGATGAAAATGTTTTGGAATTAGACAGTGGTGCTGGTTGCACAACATTGTGAATGTACTAAATACCACTGAAAAATACACTTTAGAACGGTTGATTTTATGTTATATGAATTTCACGTAAATAAAAAAAAATTAAAAAAGAAAGACTGCTCCATACAAGATCAATACACAAATATAAATTTCATTTTTATATACCACAAAAGTAGCTAGAACATGAAAATTTAAAAAGATATGATTTAAAATAATATAAATTATCAAATACTTATGAATAAATCTAATAAAATGTATGCTGTATCTCTATACACAGAACCATAAAACATTATAGACCTATATAAAAAAAAGACATATACCATGTTCAGGGCTTAGAACATTCAATACTGTAAATAAGTTAATTCTCTGAAGATTGATCTACAGATTCAATGAACTCTCCCCCTGCTCCAAATTCCAGGATTTTTCTTTTCTTTTCTTTTTTTTGAGAAATACAACAAGTTGATAGTAAAATTTATATGGAAATGCCATGGGCCAAGGGTAGCCAAGAAAACCAAACCAAACCCCTTGTTGTTGAGTCAATTCTGACTCATTGTGACCCTACAGGACAGAGAAGGACTGCCCCATAGGATTTTCCAAGGCTGTAATCTTTACAGAAGCAGACTACCACATCCTTCTCATGCGGAGCATCTGGTGAGTTTGAACCACCAACCAACCTTTTGGTTAGCAGATGAACACTTAACCACTGCACCACCAGGGCTCCAGGAAGAAGAGACTCCATTTAAAGAGTGGGAAGTGACACTTGCAACATTCAGGCACTGAGTCAATGTTGACTCGATGAATAAAAAGACTGGCAGAAAACGACTTGTCTTTCTATGTGAACCTGTATGTTTTCTAAGACAATGATATCTTTACAGCCCAGTGTTTTCTGTTCCATGAGTTAGTTACCAGAAAACACAAAGCTAAATTCAATGCAGCGACTGGCTTCTCTGGCATCTAGCCACTTTCATTCCTCTGTTCCTTTTAACTTGCTTTCATTTGTGACTGAACACCATTTAAAAATACTGTTTGAGAGCAGATAAACTAGCTTTGTATCACACATATAAATGGTTAAGACAGATACAGACTCAAACTGATCTACTCAGTATTTTCTGTGTACACCAGGTTGGAGTCCTAGCTCTGCCACTAACTGTGGGCTGAGGGAGAGTTATCTATTTGTATCATGGGGATAACAATAGTACCTACCTCATAGGCAGGTAGAAATTAAAATATATAAATGTGTTAATATGTCCTCCACAAGTGCAGATGTTGTTACTGCACCATGGCTGGGAGAAGGCTGTGGCTCTGCAGAATAGTGGAAACTCTCGTCTTTGGGATCTGACGGCTCTGAGTTTGAATGGCTCTCTTTCGGTTGATGAAATTCTGGATGAGCAAGCCCACCCCCCACCCATGTCAGGCCACCCTCCCCCCAAGCAGGCCTTCATTTCTCTTCTTTACCACGGGATCCTGCTCGGTTAGTCCAACCTGCACCTCATCTCCTCCGTGAACCTCATTAACAATCCCACAGTACAGCACGTTCACCTCTGAAATCCCACAACCACACATAAAATCACCATGTAGTGTTCAGCAGACATTTGAAAAATTTGTTATGTTCTCTCCAACTGTAACCTGGTTCTTAATGGCGGGGAGGGTGATTCTGGCAATGTCTGGAGGTGTTTGTAGATGTCATGACTCAGGGAAGGGGTGTTCTTTGGCATCTAGTGGG